CCTCTCCCTTTGCTCACTTGTACTGTTTCTCCAATATGCCAAATTCTTTCCCACCCCAGGGCCTTTGCACGTGCTGTTCCCTCTGCCAGGAATACTCCTTGTCTAGCTCTCCACACAGCTTACTCAGCTCCTTTTCCTTCTTCAGGGCTCAGATCAAATACTGACTGCTCTGCTGGGAGAGGCCCTTCCTGACTCTCTGCCAACAGGAGCCACAGACACATCTAGTCATAGTCACGTGGCCCAGATGTTTCATTTTATCTTGTTCCGTGCTTTGTCACAATATGAAAGCCAATTCCCTGAGGCAGAGGCCTGGACACTGCTGGTACAGAGTGGGTGCTCTATAAATCTATATTTCAATAAATACAATTGGCCCCTGAACAATGTGGGGATTAGGAGTGCCGAGCCCCCCATGTAGTTGAAAATCCACATATAACTTTTGACCCCCCCAAAACTTAACTACTAATAGCCTGCTGTTGACTGGAAGCTTTACCAATGACATACATATTGATTAACATATATTTTGTATATTATGTGTATTATGTACTGCATTCTGGCAATGAAGAAAACTAGAGGAAAAAATGTTGTTAAGGAAATCACAAGGAAGAAGGGTGCCTGGCTGGCTCAGACAGTAGAGCATGCAACTCTTGTTTCAGGGTCATGAGTTTGAGCCCCTAGTTGGGTGTAGAGCTTACAAAAAAAAAACAAAAAACCCATGAAGAAGAGAAAATATATTTACAGTGCTATACTATATTTATTGAAGAAACATCACATCTAAGAGGACCTGCATGTTGTTCAAGGATCAATCATATTTACTGTGGCATTTTGGACAAGAATGCTTCTTATGAAGGAAAATACAGGAAAGAATGAGATTATAAAGTGCTAAGGAGAGAATGGGAAATTCAAAATAGACAAGGTTTCAGAGAAGCTTTCACTGACATTTGAATAAAGCCCAGAAATTGGTAAGACGGGAATATTGGCGGGGAGAGAGCTTTCAGGCAGAGGGCACAGCAAATTCAAAGGCCCTGAGGTAGGACCATACCTGATCTGCTCCAGGAATGGCAGAGAGACAGGATGCCTGGGGGAGGGGACTGAGGCAGAAAGTGGAGTGGGGTGAGGTCTGAGAAGGAACTGCAGCTTTTCCTCAGAATGCACTGGAAGCCAGGGTGGGGTGGGGACTCCAAGCTGGGGGACCCTGATCTGACTCAGATACTAGCAGGATCCCTGTAACTGGGGTGCGGGGAGACCACAGAGCAGGTTGCTTGCTGAGATAGTTCAGACAGGTGACAATGGTGGACAGGACCAGGTGGGAGGCAGTAAAAGGAGGGGAGGTACATGTGTCTATGCTGTAGAGGATGGTTTTTTGTATACACGAAGCATCTAGGGAAGAGTCAGGGTAAAGAGGTCAAGGGAGCTCCTGAGCTCCTGCTCTCCATCCTCACACTAGCCCATTGGGGGAGCCCCCAGCACAGCCCGCAGCATCCCTGGCCCCTGGGCCCCTGGCCAGGCAGCCTTGAAGCCAGGTCGAGGCTCCAGGGAGGGCTGAGGTGCTACCCATGTTGATGTCCCCCATTTTCTCCCCCAGACTATGACACTGTGCAGACAGTGGGCATGACTCTGGCCACCATATTGTTCCTGCTGGGCATCCTCATCATTATCAGTAAGTGTGACCCTTTCCTGGGCTTCAGAGTGTCGCCAAGGGGGCTGCCTTGGGGTCCCTGGGCACCTACAGTTTCCCTGCTGGCTTTCATCCAGACCCTTACATCCTGCCTCGTTGTGTCTATCTGTCTCCTCACAGGCAAGAAGGTCAAGTGCAGGAAGGCGGACTCCAGGTCTGAGAGGTCTGGCAGCAGCGGGGAGAGAGAGGAGAGGGGCGGGAGCAGCCTGGGGCGCAGGGGTATTTTCCTAACAGAAGGGCCCCAGGGTCTCCCCATCTTTCCCAGAAAGCCTGGGGCTATTGGATTTCTTGATGCTTTTCTCTCTGGTCTTTGCTTCCGCAGCCCAACGTGCAAATCCTGTAAGTCGGAGCTGCCCTCCTCAGGTGAGGGGGAGGAAGGGAAATGGGGGCAGTTGGGGAAGGGGGGTGGCACTGGATGTTCCCCGAGAATGATGCCACCCATGAATGGGTGGGCCAACTGCAGTGGGAGCTGAGGCCCTGCGGATGGAAGAGGGTAACCTATGGAGTCAGTGGGGTGTGGGGAACGTCCTAGAGTCCACTGAAGCTTCCCAGAAACAAGCAGACAAGCTCTGGGAAAGCAAGGATGAACTAATTCTCCAGGGGAGAAAGCCACAAGTCTGTGAAGAGAGGTGGGGCCACAGCATTCGGATTAGGGACAGAGCTGAGCACTACAGGAGGGGGGAAGACGGGATATTTTCCAGACCTTATTGTTCAGCTGGGAAGATCAAGGATGAAATGATCAAGAAAAAGGAAGGAGATGGGCACCTGGCTGGCTCTGTCGGTTGGGAGCTTGTGACTCTTGATCTCAGGGTTATGAGTTTGAGCCCCACATTGGGGGTAAAGATTACTTAAAAAAAAGGAAAAAGAAAGAAAAAGGAAGGAGGGAAGGGAGGAGGGGGGGAGGAGGAGGGAGGAAAGGAGGGAAGGGTTTTTGGATAATTGTATCAAAATAACCAAAGGAGAGACACATAGAATACAGATTTTAAAAACTGATTTTGGAAAAGAGAATATGGGGATGGAAGGAGTATGAGATGGAAAGTACAGGAAGGGAATAAAGTGTGAGAAGGATGGAGGGGGTGTATGTGGGGGGTGGAGAGTGGAGGGGGAGTACAGGAGATGAAGGGGATGGAAGAGTTGGGGGGTGGGGGGCCACAGAAGGGGTGGCAGGTGTGGAGGGGTGAAGAGTGTGGAGGGAGTGAAGGGTGGGGAAAAGGGGTGGGGGCCATGGAGGGGGTGGGGGCGTGGAGAGGTAAGGAGTATGAGGGGGTGGGGGGGGGGGGGGGGGAGGGGGGGGGGGAAAGAGGCGATGCAGGTGGGTGGAAGGTGGACAGAGATTAGGATGTAGGAGGGAATAAGCTGCAGATGAGAGATTGGGACTCCTTGGGGGTGTTAATTCGAATTATGTAAAAATATCCTGACCTGTTTTTAGTGGAACTGTGTCCTTTCCAGAGACTTATAAAAATCAGAAATGGGAATCTCTCTGCCTCTCACAGAAAGGCTTAGAACTAAAAAGTGGGTCTTGGGGTACTCTGTGCCTGGGGGGATTTGGTGTGGAATTTGATGTGTTTTGTTTTGTGTTCTTTTCATGACATTTAAAAACCCTAAGGGGGGGTTTGTGGATGACTTCTTTGTGGATGATGGCGGCTGGGGGGTGGGTGGCGCTAGTACCTGGGGCAAGGTCTCAGAATATGCCCAGGACTGTGACCCACTCCAGTTGACTGATGGTCCCCAGTGGGTGGGACACAGAGGAATTCCAACTGTGTCCAAACGTTGGGGAAATAGGGTGTGTGTCTAGGATGGGGGTGTAGGAGGAGGCTGGGGACCCAGGAGGGGCATGGAGATTCCCTTCTAGCAGGGGGGATATCCCAGAAGTCCCAAGATGGGCCAGGGGTCTCCAGCCTCATCACAAGTAAGCTCCCCTCCATGACAGTGTCCTGTGGGGCAGGACAAAAGCCACACAGGTGTCCCTAAAGGAATCATTGTGTGGGGAGGCAAAACATTCCCAGTGTTAGCTAGAGGGTGAGAGTTCCTGGGGGTCTGGCTTCCATGGGAGGATGGGGGGAAGGGCCACTGGTTTGTGGGAGGGGGCTGCTTGCACAGGTGCCCCGTGTGGGTGACCACAGCTCTCTGACGCTGTCTCTGTGTCTCTCTTTGTCTCCACCCACCCCCCACCCCCCACGCCCGGTCCCCAGCCCCTGGAGGTGGTGGTGTGTAAAACCAGCCCTGGGCACCTCCACTGCTGTCCCTGCCTGAGTGCAGAAGCCTGAGGACCGGGTGGAGGCGGTGGGGACCCCAGCCTTGCGCCGGGGAGCGCTCCCCCGAATGAGCCGCCCCACCCACCCGAGGCTGGTGCGGCTGCACCCCGCTGTCCCTCCCCAGGTCTTGGCAATGACGACCCTCCAAAGAGCCCGTCTGCATCCCGGACCCAGGGACTCAGGCCTCCAGCTCCTGGGGTCCGGGAGTCCAGCCCCAGCCCCCCAGAATGCCCACGTATTGCTCCCTTGCACCTCCCTGTCTCCCCTCCGAAGATCGGTTTCCTTGCACCCTTGGAGTCTCTTGTCTTGAGCTTAATAAATGTGCACTTGGTTTTTTCCCCTGTTCTGTCTGTGAGTTCTCATCTGTGGGGACAAAATGGGGGAGAGGGCAAAACTGAACCTTGGGGGAACTCTCTCCCGTCCCCAGGCTTGCCACCTCCTTCTTCCTCCCCTCCCCCAGCGCCCCAGTGGCCTCCCCAGTCTCAGAGACCCGGGAGTTTCCCCTCCCGTGCTCCGCGCCTCCTCCCCAGTCGCCCCTTCCTGTCGCTTCCCCGCCGCCCCCCGCCACCCCAGAGTAGACACCCCGCCCACGCTCCCCTGCCTCCCCAAAGGTTTCCCACCCACCAAGACCTGCCGGTGCTCTCCCGCCCTCCTCCCCCCAGCGGGTGGGTGGAGGCCACTAACAGGCCTCTCACCCCTGCCCCCCATCGCCCTCAGCGTCTCCCCCTCCTGCTCCCACCGCGGGCTCTGAAGCCAGGAAACCCGAGAGGAAATGACTGAGCCCGTCTCGGTCCCCGCCCGCCAGCTCTCCCCTGGCCACACCCTCCGCCGGGACGCAGCCACCGCCGCTGCCCTCTGTCCACGAGGCTGCCGGCTTGGGACCCCCGGCTCTGACGTAAGTCTCTCCTCCGATCCGCCTGCGCCCGCCTCCCCTCTGCTCAGGGGCTGGGCTCAGGTGCCTGGAGCACTGCTCTTTTCGTGCCTCTCTGCCCCCTACTCATGCTCCAGTCTCCGCGCCTGCTCTTCGGGCACTACGGTGGGCTGCGGGCTCCCTGGGGGCCTCAGTCTCCCCAGCTTTCCGCCATCCCTCTCCGGCGGGGTCTCCAAGAGGTGCCCAGCATCCTGCTCTATTGTCCCTGAGGCGGTGAGGCCCCTAACACCAGCTCACTTTTTCCTTTGAGATCGGGAGCACATTACTCATTCTTCCTCTTTCCCCTCCTTGCTGACTCCTAGCCTCTGGGGACAGCCCCGGAGGGAGGCACGGGGTCCCCGACCTACTCCTGTGCCTTGTAGGCTCAGCCTTGGTGGGGTAAGTTCTTCTTTGCCCCAGGGGTGTCCCTGTGCGGTGGCTGTTCCTGGAAGCCCCTTTTGGTCTGATGCCTCTTGTTTTCTTTGGGGGCCTGCAGATGGAAGAAGGGGGTGGTTGCTGGGGGCCTCCCTCCACTTCTAGAACCCTCCTTCTCCTTGAAGCCCTGGCAGGGTGGGGGTCCTTGAAGCCAGAGGTGCTTCCTCTGGGTAAAGAAGGGGCTGCAGGATCCCCACGGGACCGGCATGTGTGTGTGTGTGTGGGGGGGGTCTGCCTAGTGACATCATGGCTGACTCCAGCTCCCGCTCACCCCATAGATGTCGCCCTCTGGTCGCCTGTGCCTCCTCACCATCATTGGCCTGATTCTCCCCACCAGAGGTAAGGCTGAGCCCTTGTCCCCACTCTGTCCCAGAGTGCCCCACCTTGAGTACACTGGTGGGGGGTGGGCGGGTGCCCGGTGGATTTCGATGGCCTGCCCTGTGTCTCCACCCTCCTACCGAGGCAGCACCAGGAAGTGGGGGCTTGGTGGAGGGGACCGGGGTTACACCCTCTTTGGACACTTCGCACCTGGGTGGCCGCTTCCAATGAGTCTGGCCAGAGCCTGTCCCGCTGAGCATCTTCATTTCACCTCCAAGAAGAACTCACTGAGTTTGGTTTGGCTGGGAGACTGGTGTCAGTTTTCTACTGAGCAGCCAGGAACCCTAGGCTCCCAGCAAAGCCGCTCCTTGGACAGCCGGGTGATACACGATTAGGCAAAGGGGGTGAGCTGGGGTCAGTCCAAGAGTTAGAACTGTCTCAGTCCTCCCTGAGGAGGGTTTCTAGAAGACAGTTCTCATGGTGGGCACTTGCAAGTGCTTTCTACATGGCATGTGCTGCCTAGGGCAACTCATTTCAACTTAAGCCCTACCCCGTTATGCATACGGTCATGCCCATTTTATGGATGAGGAGACCGAGGCTCAGGAAAGGCAAGTGTTGTGTGCCAGAGGCTAGTGAGCAGTGAGGCTGGGATACAACCATCTTTCTTGCTCCCAGAATCTGGGTCATAAGCTGCCCCATTTGTCTTTGTTAAAATGGTTTTCATGTATTCTTTCAGTCATTCGCCAGTGTTCACTGAGCAGCTACTGTGTGCCAGCCTTTAATCTATGCATGGGGGAAGCAGCATCACATAAAACAGGAGCTCACATTCTAGCTGGGAAAGACAGGCAATAAACAATCCATCAGCAAACTATATGGCATGCTAGAAGGTGGTAAGTGCTATGGAGAAAAGAGGAGCAGAGTAATGAGGACTGTTTAGATGGGGTGGCCCCAGAAGACCTCGCTAGAAGGTGATATTTGGGCAGACACTCAAAGGACATGAGGGAATGAGCCAAGCAGGATCTGGGGGATGAGTGTTGTCCAGTGAGTGCAAGGAACAGCGGGCAGGCCAAGTGGCTGGGCTGGGGTGAGCAAGGGCAGGGTGGGAAGAGGAGAGGTGAGAGGGATGACAGGGGACCAGATGGAGGGGAGAGGGGGAGGGCCCAGGCCCCACAAGTCCTTTGGCTTGTATTAGGAGCAAGGAGAGGGCTCTGCACAAGCAAGACCTTGACCTGCGCCAGGGGTTGACGGGCCCCTCTGGTTGCCAGTGGGAGCAGACTGCAGCGGGCAGGGATGAAGGCAGGGAGCCCAGGGGGGCGGTTATCCAGGCCAGAGAGTGTGAGGCTGGGCCAGGGCGGGAGCAGTGGCTGTATCCAGTTCTGGCTGCATATCAGGGAGTAGGGGAGACCCTTTCCTCTGCCGTGTCCTTTCACCCTGTCTGTAGCCCTGAGAAGCAGATTCAGGTAGTATGCCATCTTTGCAGATGAGACAGCTGAGGTTCAGAGAGAGGACTTCACCCTCTCCAGGTCACATAGGAAGGAAGTCGCTGGAAACAGAATTTGAGACCACAGCCCTGGCTAACTTTAGGACCTGGGCCTACGAGGCTAAATCACCTCTCCTTTCCCACAAGGATGGGCAAGGGAGAGGGGCTGGAGAAGGAGTGCTGGGCATCAGCATTTCTTAAAACACTTCCAGGACCATGGATGGATACCACTATTCAAATGTCCGTTTGTCTGTCTGCTGCTCTACCAGTATGTCCTGAGCTACTGCCCACAGCTTCAGAGGGGAGGGCAAGGTGGAATTTTGGTGAGAGAAGCGGGGCCAGAGGCTCCTCTCTGACTCCTTGCCCTTGGTTTCCCAGGACAGATATCGAAGGAGGCCACATTTTTTTCTCCAGCAGACAGAAACAGATCAAACGCTCGTGCTCTGACACCAGCCCCAGGTGAGGAAAGAGAGATAGATCTGTCAAGATCCTGTCACTGCAAATAACAACAGCTACAAAAATCTCAAGCTCTGACTGCTCAGGAATTTTGGCTTTGTGCAATCGGAAGGTCTGGTGATAGGCCTTCAGGCATGGCTGGGTCTAGGTGCTCAAATGATGCTATCAGGAACCTGTCTCGATCTCTCGGTTCTATCTTTTCTGATTTGGTTGGACGATCCTTTTATGGGGTCAAGACGGCCCCTAGAGACCTGAGGCTTCCATCCGTCCTGTTAGGAAGCCGGAGGAAAACGGGTTTCCCCTTCCCCAATCCAGCAAAATTCCCACAACTGAGCATCCCTGACCAGGTTCAGGTGACAAGTCCAGCCATGATGATCATTGTGGCCACAGGCCAAAGCTGATTGGCCAGACCCCAGTCTCATGTTCCAACCCCAATAAGATTGTTGCCGGCCTCACTGAATGAAGTGGACCCAGACTCAGCGAATGGTGGTTCATAAGGAAAGTTCCAGGGGCTCTTTCCAGAGGTGGATGGGTTCTGAGTAGGGGCATGTGAATCTGTGGGAGGGGAAGGCTGAGGCAGGGCAGGAGAGGGCGAGGCCGCTGGAGCGTTAGCAAATGGTTCGGTTAATTTAGTCATTTCAATTTTATCAAAATTGAGCAGCTACAGAAATCCCCCTGTTCCTCTACCCATGGACCTTCTCCACATCTTCTCTCTCTTCTTTCCCTGTTTCTGGACTCCAGATGCTCAGCCCACCCCTCAGATAACCCCGCAGACTGGTGGTGAGTGGAGGAGGGGGCGGGACCGTGGGCCTGGGATGGACGCCTCTCCTTCTTACTCATTTTGGTCCCCCAGCTCTGAACCCTCTGTCTTACTTTGTGGTGGGACAACCAGTCACCCACCTCTGCTTCTTTAGAAACAAATCCTTTGAAATCGTGAAAAAGAATATGCATACTGAAAAATACAAAACCCATAAACATAGAACTAAAGCAGATTACTCTAAATCGATCCCCTGCATAACTGGCACCCAGCTCAAGGATCAGAGCTTTGCAAACACCCTGGCAACTCCCCGGGGGCCAAAGCCATTCCTTCCTTCCTTTAATCTCTGTATCTTTTGCTTTTTTTGAGTTTTCAAGAGAGTTTTGAATTGTTTCTGGGAGTATCATTCAAAAAGTTCTCCCTGATTTTCTCCATGAATATTTGATGATACCATAGTACATGCTTGGAAGTAGATACAGATATTATAGGCGGGATGAAATCCCATGGTCCATCCCCCATTCTGTTCTCTCCCCGCCATCTCCAAGAGGCCCCCACTGCTGGCGCTGGTTGGGGAGTAGCCCCCCAGAGATGTTGGACCACAGGGGGATTGCCTGCAGAAAATATCTTGACTGGGGAGCGTGTTCCTGTGAGCTGGTTGTTTGCAAAATGATCGTTGTTCTGCAACTTGCTATTTCCCCCCATGCAACGGTATGTTTAGAAGCTCTCCCCACATTCCTGTATAAACTACTGGTCTTGTTCTTTTGCACTGCTGTCTGGTACTCCGCTTGGATGTCTGCGCATGGTTAAGGAAAACTTGCACGTCTTGTGAACATCTCAGTCTTCTCTCCTACGCCCAGCAACGCGATAGGCAACCTCGTTCCCTCCTCCTTAAGCAAACCCCATCAGCGCTTATGATATATTGGTCATGGTTCTATCTGATCTGTGTTCACTCACTCAATCCTCACCCAAACCTTCTGAGATAGAACAGCCTTCCTTTACAGGCAAGGAAACAAAGGCTCAGAATAACTCACTCAAGGTGTCACAACAAGTCAGGGACTGAGGTGGGACTGGGGGTCCCGGATCTCGGCGTTTACCCACAACGCTATGGGACAAAGAACACAAACACCGACATGTGTTTTCAAAGCCTCTTGGGAAGTGGCTGTGTAGATTTGCCCTCCTGCCAGCCACAGGCCAGTGTCCCCCTTTCCCGCCCGCACCGTGACACCTGCAACATGACCGTCCCTGATTTTTGCCAACCAGAGGAGGGGGAGAGGGCCCTCTGATGTTTTATGGATCTGCAAGCCCCTGTTTCACTCGTTGTTCACCCTTCCCTCACTCATCTGACCTGAGTAGGAACAACACGAGAGCAGGAGGTGGAGATCCAGACCCCGAAAGTGGAGGAGACCCAATCCCAGCAACCGATGGGAGTGCACCCGCCCCTAACCACAGATCCGAGGACAGGCAAGACCGGCCCAGAAGGTACGGCCTGGGACTAGAAAGGCAACATACAAATTTTGTTTAATTCTCTATCTGGGTCAACAGTTCCCCAAGTACATTTCTCAGAGCACCTGTTTGGGGAATTATTCATACATTTTCAAAAAACTCTGTTTTGATTTGCGGTCAAAGGTATTTGGGAAACTCTGAGTTAAACACATTTCTTTTTGGCGGGACTTCTTGGAGTCCTATTAAGACTCATTTGCAGCAAGCATCCCCTACAGGAGCTGTTGTACACGGCGTTTTCCAAACATGATGGACTTTTTTTTTTCAGGTTCCTTTATAGGGCTGGCACCTGGAAATGTGGATGTAGATGTTTCCTTTGTGTACCTCTTCATGTTAGAGCAGCAGTTTTTCACTTGTAAAATACTGCAAATGCAACTAAAAGTAAAATAGATTTATTGGCTATATGTGTTCTGTAAAGTCCCAATATAGGATTTCAGGAACAGCTGGATCTAGGTGCTCAAGGACTGTCATCATAACTGACTTGCTATCTCTTTCTCAGCTCTGTTGTCTATGTTCTTAAGTTCTCAAGTTTCTCTTCCCCTCTTGGTGGCAAATATAGTCCTATAGTTCTATTTAGGTCATAAACCCAGCAGATAGAGCACATCTCTTTCTCATCTGTAGCCCAAGGCATAGAATTGACACTCCCTGGCCCAGCTGGGGTCACACGCCCACGTATGGCCAAAGGGAGCCAGGGAAATGGATTGCTCTGACTGCTTAGGCCGGAGACTTGTGCCCACTCTGGGGCTGGAGAGCAGGGTCACCCCTGTTTGCACTGCATAGACCAGAGTCAGGGAAGAAGTAGTTCCCCTCAGGAGCAGTGAGTCAGTTAACAGGCATAGGAAAGGACGCTGAGCTGAGGGGAAGCCAGCAGGTGGTCTCCCATTCCTGTGTGACCCATATTTGAAGAGCAGCCCCATCTGGAAGGTACTGTAGCTTGGACCACTCCCAGGCTGACATGCATGCACAGTTGTGCAGACTGGGCACTGCACAAGAGCATCACCTCCAAGGCCATGTCATTCCCCTTGTGGATTTTTATAATCATTGTAGTTTTCCAGGGATGGCAGTGAAGCATCTGATTCTGACAGAGCCTATTTATTAAAGCAGTTTTACCACGGATGGAAATAAAATGTCTTAGAGAAGAGAACCATTCTATTTTCCACCAAAATGGAGGTGCAGGGATGTGTAGTGACTGTGTCCACTCTTCCCAATGGAGAAAAACATTCTCACATCTCTAGATTCACTTGCTGTGAGTCCGTGTTGACCCGAGTTACTCTGTGTTATGATATCATGTTCCTGAATATGCGTGAGAGAAAGTCAGCTGGGCTGAGGGAGTCATGAAATCAAGTGGTAAAATGCACCTTAGAGCCTTGGCTCACTAGAGCCCTCCTCCCAGGGAAGAAGGAGCTTGGGTCACATGCTCCCCCTTGTGGCCTGTGTTACAATAGAACCAGATGGACTGGGGAAAGCGGGAGCAGGCCCTCCCACCCCAAAGAAAGGGGAAGCTGCTCCTAGCAGGAGAGCCAGCTCTAGGGTGACAGCAACAGCGGAGTTTGCTCTGTGCCAGGCACTGTGCTAAGCTTTCCCATGTTCACTCATTCAGTGCTCATGGCCGGCCACCCTGCGTGGTAGGAACTGTCAAAACCTCATTTTACAGGTAGACAGCTGGGGCTTAGAGAGGTTACTCTGCTAGCCCCGTGCCACACAGCCCAAAGCTGCAGAACCAGAATGTGAGCCCAGGCTCTCTAGGACCAGTGTGCCTGAGCCCCGCACAGCACACAGTCCTTTACGTTCTCTGTGGTTTCCGTGTGTCTGTCCTTGCTGCCGGTCTGGCTTGAGCCTTCCCTTGGCCAAGGCTTTCCCGAACATCTTGTGATCCTTTCCTGTCGGTTCATACTTAAGAAATGAGGTGGTGGGGCACCTGGCGGGCTCAGTCTGTTAAGCGGCTGCCTTGGGCTCAGGTCATGAACCCAGGAAGGGAAGTCATCGTGCCTTGTCTCCTCCACAACTCACTTCTGCCCTCTGCCACCTTTTAGCCACACCCTCGGCTGAACCCAGTAAAGGAACAACGCTCTCCAAGAGGCAGTCTCCAGGCAAAGGCGGCAGGCCAGACCCTATCCTCGGGCCGACTGGTCAGTAACTCCCTTCCCAGACTGGAAACAGGAAATTTCCTATTCCCTGTGTATTTCTAGCACCTGGAACCATGCCCAGCATGAAATAGTCCTCTGTAAACATGAGTTCAAGGCTGGAAGGGGGAGTTATAAGGTAGGTGTCCAATAAATGTCTGGATAGACAAACGAATCCATGAATGATTGCCCAGTGCAAACCACCATGACGTTCAGTGGCTTAAAATAACAACCATTTATGTAGCTCCCAAGGTTGCAGTTTGGAAATTTCATCTGGGCTCAGTTGAGGGGCTCTTCTGGTCTCAGCTGGACTTACTCATGCTTCTGATATCAATTTAGGGGTCAGGAAGGGAGCTCTGTTTCAGGGATACCTTGATCCATCCCTTTGTGGTCTTATCTTCCACTTCCTGCCCAGCCAGCCCCACTGAAGGGGTAGAAATGATTGGTCACATAAAGAGTTCATTCATTCATTCATTCAAAACACATTGACAAGCACCTGCTGTGTTCTAGGTATCAGAGAGACAGCAGTGAACAAAGCCGACAAAAATCTCTTCCCTCGGGAAATCTCTTCCCCATTTTTGTGGGGGATAGAGACAATAAATAAGAGTTATAAGAATTATGTATCAGGTGGTTTAAAGCTGCTATCAAGAGAAATAAAGTAGCATTACGGGCAGAGGTGACTGGAGTATTTTCCATAAAGGGCTGGGGAAACCTCCCTGAGAAGGAGCTGAGGGGGAGTCATGTGGATGTCTGGGCAGGGGTGTTGCAGGTAGAGGCAGCAGCCAGTGCAAAGGCCCTGAGGTGAGAGGGGACTTGTCCAGCCGCCAGTGGGGTGGCCATCGAGGTGAGCGCTGGAATGAGGAGCTGAGGTAGAGAGGGGGTGGGAGCCATGTGGTGCGTTGTATGAGGCTTTGGTTCTAAGTATCCCAAGGCTGAGACCCGGGTCCTCCTCCCTCCCTCCCTACCGTCTCCGTCATTCACTGCTTCACTCCACAATTTTTGTTGAACACTGACTTGCTCCCTGTCTGTCTCCCAGGTTCCAGTGAGGACAACCCCTTCTCCTATGGTAAGTTACCCATGGGAGGAGTGGGAAGAGGCAGGGAGGGAGGCCCCTCTTGTCCTACTCCACTTTTCTCTCTGCAGATGAATACACTCTCCGGAAGCGGGGGCTGCTGGTCGCAGCTGTGCTATTCATCACGGGCATTGTCATCCTCACGAGTAAGACTCAGAGCTGGGGGAGGCCCCAAGCCTGGGAGGGAGGAGGCTTCAGCTTGGACTTTGACTCAGGGGATCAGTTCTTGAAGCCCCTCCTCCCTGGGGCAGAGTTGTTTTAAACAGGACATATTAGCTACATGTCTGGAGAAACCACACTGGAAGAAGTCAATGGCTTAAAATGATCACCATTGACTTAGCCCAAACATGCCCTTTGGAGATGTAGGCTGAGCTCAGCTGGGTGGTTCTTCTGGTGGCAGCAGGATGGCACAGCAACGGGGAGGGGCAACCGTGTCCCCACAGCCTGGAGAGGTGACAGGAGGGAGTGGTGGCGCCAGGGACTAGTGGGAGACAGAACTGTAGACGGAGCCACTGGCTTGGGTCGTGGCTCCATGGCTCCAGGGAGAGGTTTCCAGCCCCTGCATGCCCCTGCCCTCCAGCCCACCAGGAGGGAGCAGAGGGGGAAGGGATCTGAAACCCAAACCTCTCTCTCTGGCCACAGCCTCCCAGCCAGGGCTGTTAGGAGACGAGGAGACAAGGGGATGCAGTCTCTTGGGGGTTGGGGACAGCGTTGCATGGAGCCCAGCATTGTATAGGGAATGGGGGCAGAGAGAGAACAATGAGCAGAAAAATTAATTTTTAAAATGCTGCAGATGAACTAAAACACACAGGCCACCCGTTCGCAAGCTCTGCGTGAAGCCATATAGCTTACATCAAGTGTTATTGCCTCTCTTGCCCAACTTCCCCATCAGGAAAACGCACACAGCCACATCCTTTTCTGTCTGAGGTGGGAGGCAGAACACTAGCAGTGGTGAGAAGAGATGGCGGGTGCCTCCTGCCCCCCACCGAGTCCAGGGCTCGAGAAACAACTGTCTCTGCCATTTGTTGATCCTGACCTTGTGCTGGAGCCTGTCCTCACCCCTCCCCTCCCGCCATCTCCCACCCAGACAACCGTGGGAAGAGTGAAGCTCAGAGAACTAGGGGTGTGCCCAAGGTCATGAAGCACCTGAAAATCAGGGAAGGACTGGACCCAGGTCTGTGTGAGGGCGGAGCCTGAAAGTTAGCTCTGGGGCCGGCAGTGGTTCCAGTGACAGTCATCTGTGGGTACCTACTCTGTGCCTATGCTGTGCCCGGTCCCCGCCCTTGGGGAGCCCACATCCAGTGAGGGGATGACAGTAAACAGGTGAGTGCATTAGTGAGCAGAGTGGACATTGCCAGAAGGAAAAAAAAGCAGAATAACAAGCCAGGAGGGATGGGAAGAGACACTCTCTCTAAAGAGATAAAGTCAGAACTGATTCTTGATGATGAGAAAGACGATTTAAAAAACAAGTAAAGGGAGCAGCAAGTTCAAAGCAGGAGTTAGCTGAGCATGTTGCAGTAACCACAGGAAGAGGCCGGGGTGGCTGGGGCTGTGTGAGCCTAGCGGGGAGTAGAAAGAGGTGAGGAGGCAAAGGTGGCAGCTGGAGACTTGTCTTCTGGAATCCGCCCCCTCATTCACTTGGGTCTGGCCCCCCGACCTCCACTGTTGTCCACTAAGCCCACCTGTCTCCTTCTACCTCAGGGCCTTTGCACTGGCTATTCCCTCTACCTGGAACACCCTTCCTCTAGATGTCCACGTGGCTCTCCCCCCACCTCTTTCAATGTGCTCAAATGTTACCTGCTCAGTGAGGCCCCTCCAGTCAACGCCATGAGGATGGCCCCGGCCCCTGGGCCTCCCTGCCTCCCTCCTGGCTTTAGTTTTCTTCTGAGCCCACGTCACCATCTGATATCACTGTCCGTACACTTGACTTAGTCATTTTGCTCATTGTCGGTCTCCCCAACTAGAAAGTTAGCTCTCCCGGGGCAGGGATTTTATTCATTCCTATCCCCAGCTGTGCTCCCGGTGCCAAGATCAGAGCCTGGCACATAGTAGGTGCGCAGTAAATATTTGCTGAACGAACGAATCACACACAAGCTCAGAGGGGTTTTCAAGCTCCTCTGTGTGTGTGGGAGGCTGCTTGCTTGGGGCCCTCGCACTCACTCTTTTCCTGTGTGCTCCTCATCTCTGGCTCAGGGTTGCCCTGGAGCTTCCTGAGGGACAGGGTCAGCAGGCCTTGACCCCTAGCACCCAGAGCACACGCGATAATCACCGTTGTTCCAACACATGACTGGACCCTTTTCTTCACCCGCAGGTGGCAAGTGTAGGCGGTTACCCCAATTATGCCGGAATCGTAACAGGTGAGACCATTGGAAGTAGGGGCCGGCAACTGAATTGATGGGCACCCCAAGATTGAGTCCCCACCGGCTCACCGTGCCCAGCCACCTCCCTTCCCTCGCGAAGCCTACAGAATAGTCAACAAAGCCCAGCCTGAGAGGGAAGACCCGGATGGAGCCAGAGCCGGGGCTGATGGCCCAAGGCCCCTCCCCTCCCCACCCTGCCCACCCAGAGGGCTGCCTGGCTCCCTGGGCACTGCTCCCCAAGTTACCTGTTGTGTTCAGATGAAAAGTAAAGCACTGTGGTCCTTGCCCATGGCCTCTGATCATTCATGACTGGGGAGCGGAAGAAAGCAGCTGGGACTGGGGATGGGTCCCCCGAGGAGTGAAGGAAGGGGGTCACAGACTCAAAAGCCAAGGCAGGGAACCCAGAGAACACAGCCTGACTGGTGTGAGGCAGCAGGGACGGGAGGGTAGGCCATGGGGACTCTGGCTGGTGGGAGCATCAGCACTGGATTGGGCCCACAGCAGTTCAAGACCCCAGCCTGGCGTCTGGATGTGAGCTCACCCCTCACCTTGGTAGGAAACTGGCCAAGTGCAAATGGAGGTCCCAGGCCCACAGGGGCCTACTTTTCTTTACACTCCAGATCCCTCGTCACTGTGAAGGGCCTCGCACACCAGTGTGGACTCCCCAGCCTGCCCATCCGAACTCTATCCACACCCCCCACTACAAATGACTGCTTCTGGGCCACCTCTTGGTGGAGAGGGAGGTCCATCAAGAAGGCCACACAGGCCCTGGAGGGGGAGGGCTCAAAGCCATTTGGGCAGGGAATTCCAGGGTCCTGGGGACCCCGAGAAGGGTCAAGAAAGGCGCAGGCTCTGGTGGGCACATCCTGAAGGCCCTGGAGAGGGGCTCCACCGATTAAGGCTGGAGCAGGCCCTCTGCAGCGTGGGGCCCAGGACAAAGGCCACTCCCCCGGTGTACAGGCCATCACGACAAAGTACAGAGACCAGGTCCTGTCCTCGGGGGCTTGCATAACAAGAGTTCACAGACCTCAGGTCACAACCTCTTCATGGATTATGAAACCAGTTTCATGGGCTGTGAATAGCATAAAAAAGTAATAAAATAGAAAAGTAACAAAATAGAAAAAAAAAGAAACTAAAGTAGAAAAAATAGATAAAATAGAAAACATAGAAAAGTAATAAAATAGAAAAGAGAAACATCAGAGTACACTCCAAATAATCTGACTCTTTATATACTCTTCTCTTGGTTTCGGCTTGGGTCGTGATCTCAAGGTCCTGGGATCAAGCCCTGTGTCAGGCTCTGCGCCCAGCTTGGAGCCTGCTTGAGGTTCTTTCCTCCTCCCTCTCCCTCCCCCTCTGCTCCTCCCCTGGCTTGCGCTCACTCTCCTGTCTCTGTCTCTCAAATAAAAAATAAATGGGATAAATCCCTTGAAAATAACATGTATTATATGTGATATATATCATATGGACATGTGTGATATATACTATGTATATGCATAGCCATATTACATGGGATATAAGTATATTATATTTGTGATGTATGTAGTATGATATATACGTATGGGGGGGGTTCTAAAAATATTTTTGATTGACATCCACCAGCTGCTAATCAGAGGCCTAACCCATCGGCCAGGGGGAGGTCATTCATGTGTATATTACACACACACACACACACACACACACACACACGAATGGATACAAACTGTGGTGTATGCTGAGAAGGAATATGGCTCACCACGAAACACAGCAGCAACAAGGAGGACTCGCAGAAGCATTAGCCTGAGCGAAAGGAGCCGGGTACCAAAGCTCGCGGGTACTTTCACTCCTAATACTACCACTTATATGAAGTTCTGGAATAAGCAATAATGATAATAATAAATTGGTAAACAGAAGTGTTTCCCTGAGTTCTATGAGCTGTTCCAGCAAATAATCAAATCCAAGGTGAGGGAACCATGGAAACCCCCAATTTGTAGTCACATTTGACAGAAGCTGTGGGTAACCTGGGACCTACGATCCATGGGCGTCAGAAGGGGTGGGGGAGGGGCAGTCTCATGGGACCCATCCATTCCCTTCTGGGCTCTGCATTCACTCTGGTGCATGTCAGAATTGAACTGAATTGTAGGACGACCAGCTGGGGTCATGGGGAATTGCTTGGTGTGGTGATCTTGTGAGTGTCAACAAGCAGCACATGAGTGGAGGCAAATTTTTCTCCAGAGTCAGGTTCTGGAAATCATCTGCAAAGTCTTAGCCTAGAGCCCACTCCACCAGGCTTTCCAAAAAGCTTGTGAGCTCCTCATTCCCTATATCAGGCCGAAAAGTGACGGGAATAATTTCAAAATCTCAGTGGCTTACAATGGCAAGGGTGTGTTCGTAGTCATACCTTGTGCTTATCAAAGGTCGCCTGGGAGCGATGATGTGACCTAAGCTGATGGAGAAGCCACCATTGGAAACATCTCTGGTTACCAGTGACACAAAGAAGAGAGAAGAAGGTGACACCGCTGGCTCTTGTAGTCTTTGCCTGAAGGGACATGTGTGCATGTCCTGCTCACATTTCATTGGCCAGAGCAAGTCACACAGCCAAGTTTGCGTTCAAGAAGGTAGGAAACTACAATATTCTTATAGTGAGGGAACTGGGTAATGCCACAAAGGAAAGTTATTATCTCACACACCAAGAATTCTGGAAACAGAAACTATATTCAATGTCAAGAGCCATAAGTCAGTAACAACGGTAGTTTCAACAAGGTGATTTATTTCTCCCTCACAAAACAGAACTATGAAGTGTGTAGTCCGAGACTGGAGAAGGGGTTCATTGGTGTCATAAGGGACAAGGCTCCTATTGACCTACCACTCTGCCATCCTTAGCATGTGGCTCTAAACCTCATGATCACAAAATGGCTGCAGGAGCCTTAACCTGTCATGTTCCAGAGGAAAAAAAGCAAGAAGAAAAGAAAAAGGTGTGGAGGGGATGGCACCACTAGGTGAGCTTCGTCCTTTTAAAAGGGGATCCCAGGATCCCCTCCCAAAGACTTCTGCTTACTTCCGATTGGCCACTTCTATCTGCTAAAAGAAATTGGGAAATGTAGTCTTTTAGCTGAGTCTATGACACTCTGACTACCATCATGGAAAACAATAGCCCCAAGGAATGCGTGGATATGGTGGGGAGGATGCTGAGCTTCTCCCAAGTTAAGGATGGGGACTCAAGCTTTTTTATTCAAATTTGAAAGGAAAAGGTAATTCCTAAGACTGGAGTCTGTGGAGACCTCCAGGGGACAGAACACTGACTCTCAGACTCGAAAAAGACATCCAGAAATCTCTCCAGCAAGGCCCCCAGTGCTCTCCAAAGGCTGTCCATCTGCTGCCCCAACCCCTTCTGGCACAAGACCCCTTTTTCTGTTGTGGTGTCTAAACTGCAGCTCCTCCCCCACTCTTACATCAGGGGAGAGATGGCTTGCCAAGACCTAATGGAATGGCTCTCGGAATGCAGCCAGACTCCAGAGTACAATACTGACAAGATTCTTGTTCTAGAAGAATTAAGGCCACATCGCACTCACTGGAAGGAATTTGCTTTCTTCACATGGAACTACCTCGTGCCTTTTTGGGGCTGTTGGGAGGGACTTTCAAGGCTTGCTTCAGTGAGGTGTTGCTTTTAGGGAGGTGGGTGAGTGTGTGAGCTCCTGCCTGTGGGGAGATTAAACAGCCTTGGAAACACTCCATGAGGTGACTCTGGGATGTGTCCACTTGGCTAGGTGAAATGACATTTCCCAGCATTCCCCTCCCTGTACGCTTCTGGTTAAGGTGGGATGCAAGAGACGTTCTCATGGGGGATGGTGGGGTTGAGGTTGGAGCCGTGGCCATCTTGTGGCTTCCACTAGCCACCCTTTATCTGCGACGACTCACCTCGCTGGTAGAAGGCAAGAGCCGGGCCTGCCTCTGTTCCCACCTCCCCCCTCTTTTAGTTCCTCCAACCCCCGCACCAGCTGCGTGCCTAGCCCTGCGATGGGGGGCCCTGGCTTCTGCGGGACACGTACCACCACGGTCACAGGCAACTGGTTCTCTGATCTAATCAGATTTAAAGGCATTAATGACCCTGTTTCCCGTGGCAAAGGAGACACTGATAGCCCATGGCACAAAGTGGCGAAGCAGTTACTCAGATCAGTACCGATAACTGTCTGTATCAGTAGCGAGGCTCCAGGGACCAAGTGTTTGCTTCCATAGGATGTTTTAGTAAAAATAAGGTGGTTAATGAGTTGGCTGGTTGCCTCTAAGAGTGCTGGAAAACGTGAGGAAAGAAAATGGGGAGCTCAGAGCTTTATATCCCCAGCCTAAGAGCTGTCTGAGGGACTCGAACGTTTCTGTGGCTGTGGGGAGAGAAACTTACTTCCTGCAGAGAGAGGGCCCAGAGTTCTGAAAACACGCTCAAAGTGAAATCCTGTGAGCAGCCGACATTTACAATTCCCATCCAACTTCCAACCTTACACGGTCCTTTGGTTAATGCTAGGGCACTGAATAGGAAGGAACAGGAGCCCAAAAAGTGGGTTTGGGTTATATGGGCAGATTCTAACAAGGCTGTCACGTCTCCTTTGCCCATCGAGTGAGTCTGCACCTGTCTGGGGAGGATGGTCTCCTCTTGCTTGAAGGAACTGGAATGGCCTTTCCTCAAGCAGCGCCCTTTGTAGGAGCTGGTGATCCTCCTAAGAACTTTTCTTGCCTCTAAGACCTGTAGCCAGACTCAAGTCTCAACAGAACCCAAAGGGCGAGGAGCAAAATAGGAACTGTGAGGAGATCCCCAGAACAATTGCCAATTTCCATCCACAGAAAACTGCAGAACGTGCGTAGAAATGGGTCTTTGGTGTGCTGAGCCAAGGTAGGGGCAGAATATAAAATTGGGTCAGGCCAAATGTATTGATTTGGTTCATGAAAGCAGAGATTCTAGCTTCGATGCTCGAACATAAGGGTCCAAGAATACCTCTGATGGTTTGCTTGGTTGTTTGATGGACCTGTGTACCCAAAGGTGGCCTGTCCTAGGTTAAAATGTCAAAGGTTCCTTGGTGGACCCGCAGAGTCCGAGTCAGCAAGCCTTGTCTGTAAAAGGCCAGATAGGAAACATTTTAGGGTTTTTAGGCCAGTGCCGGCTGCGGCTCCGGCTTTAGAGTGGAAAAGCAGCCAAAGACAATTGGTAAAAGAATGAGCATGGCTGTGTCCCCATAAAAGTTTATTTATGGACACTGAAATGTGGATTTCATATCATTTGCATGTGTCACACAATATTATTCTTCTTTTGATTTTATTT